GTCTTTCTGCCATCCGCGTGGCCCCCTGCGCGGTGGCATCATCCGGCTCCGGGTACCACAGGGCCGCCCGGACGGGTGGTGTCAGCTCCGCAGCATCCCGACCGCGCYGGGTTTTCCCGGGTGGATGGTGGTTACGGAGCGGGATTTGGGGGYTTGGAGGGCTGCGGAGYGGGGGGCRGCCGGGCCGGGGCCTCGCGTGGCCCCGGCGCCACTTCCCCTTTCTCCCTGGCGCCGGAGGCGGCAGTCACATCCTGCCCGGGCAGCAGAGCGAAAGCGCCGCGGCCAGGGCGGATCAGCCCTTTGGGGGGATCTGCCCTTTGGGGGATCTGCCCTTTGGGGGATCTGCCCTTTGGGGGGATCTGCTCTAGTTCGGGCACTGCAGTGGTGGTGATGGGGGGGACAAGGCTCCGCGCGGGTGCTGATGCCGGGGCCCGCGGCGCCCAGGGGACCCGCGGCGGCCGCTGGCGCACTTCAGCGCGCCCAACGTGTCGCACTACGACGCGCTGCTGCTGCGCGCCGACGAGGAGCGGCTCTACGTGGGCGCCCGCGACCGGCTGCTGGCGCTGGCCGTCGGCGGCCCCGGCACCATCGTGGGCCAGGCCTCGGTGAGCGCCGCCCGCCCGCCGCCCCCGCCCCGCGCGGCGCCGCGGCCGGTCCTTACGGAGCCTCTCGCCTAGATAACGTGGGGCCCCACGGCCGAGAAGGCCTCCGAATGCGCCTTCAAGAAGAAGAGCGAGGAGGTGGGCACGGCGCCGGGGACACCCACGGGGGGCCCTATGGCACCCATGGGACCTGGGGGGGCACCCGTGGGGCCACCCCCCCGGGCTCTGTCCCACTTTGCCTCTGCACCCCGCAGACCGAGTGCTTCAACTTCCTGCGGGTGCTGGTGGCCCTCAACCAGAGCCACCTGTACGCGTGCGGCACCTAYGCCTTCAGCCCCGCGTGCGCCTACGTGGTGAGCGGCACGGGGACGCCTGGCGTTCTCCCGGCGCGGGGACGCTYGGCACTCACCGTCCCCTTCCCGCTCCCTCCGCCTGCAGCACCTGGAGAACTTCACGCTGGTGGCCAGCGGCCGGGGACAGCCCTACCTGGACGGCAAGGGCCAGTGTCCCTTCGACCCGCAGCACACGCACACGGCGCTGCTGGCCGGTGAGCGGGGGGCGCCGCGGGGCCCTTTGGGGGGACACGCAGTGGGTGACGGCACCCAGGGCTGCCCGTCACCCCCCGCCGCCCCGCGCGCAGACGGGGAGCTCTACGCCGGCACCATGAACAACTTCCAAGGCAACGAGCCCATCATCTCGCGCTCGCTGGGCGGCCGCACGCCGCTCAAGACGGACGCCTTCCTGCGCTGGCTCGCAGGTGGGATGTGGGGACGGAGCGGGGGACATCCCCGCCCACCCCGTCCGTGACGTTGGCCACCGCCCCGCAGCCGACACCGCCTTCGTGGCCTCCTTCTCCATGCCGGGCGACGACAAGGTCTACTTCTTCTTTGAGGAGACGGCGGCCGAGTTCGACTTCTTCGAGCGGCTGCTGGTGGCGCGGGTGGCCCGCGTGTGCAAGGGGGACGTGGGCGGCGACAAGGTGCTGCAGAAGAAGTGGACCACGTTCCTGAAGGCGCAGCTGGTGTGCGCCCAGCAGGGCCGCTTCCCCTTCAACGTGATCCAGCACGCGAGCGCCGCGCCGCGCCGCCCCGGCCGCGCCGACTTCTACGCCGTCTTCAGCTCCCAGTGGTACGGCGCCGGGAGCGGCGGCAACGGCGGGTGGGATGTGCAAGGGGATTTGGGATGTGCATGGTGACTTGGGATGTGCAAGGGGATTTGGGATGTGCGCAGGGATTTGGGATGTGCATGGGGATTTGGGATGTGCGCAGGGTTTTGGGATGTGCATGGGGATTCGGGATGTGCATGGGGTTTGGGGATGTGTGCAGGGATTTGGAACATGCATGGGGATTTACGGTGTGCGCAGGGATTTGGGATGTGCATGGGGA